TGTTATGCTCATGTGTGCATGTGTGTGGAGGCCAGAGGTCAACCTCAGCTTTCACTCATCAGGCACTGTCCATCTTGTTCTTTGATACAGGCTCTCAGATTTGGCCTGGAGTGTGACAGTTAGGGTAGGCTAGCTGGCCAGTGGGCAGCCCCAGGAACCCATTCATCTCTCCCTCCCCAGTGCTGAGTTTAGAAGCTCACATCACCACTCCTTTCTGGCCTTCCTTTTTCATCTGATTTTGATGTATGCACACATGTTCATGAGTGTGAGTACAGGTGCGTGTATGCCATGGCACATGGACGGAAGTCAGAAGACAATCCCGGGTGTTCATCTTGCTTTCCACCTTGCTGGACCTAGACGAGGTCTCTCTCCTTCATCTAGGGAGAGCACCTACGCAAACAGTGATCTCCACCACCACGTGGATGGTTCTCCTCTTAACCCAGCATGCTGTGCTTGCCTGAGTCTTCACTTAGGACCTTCATCTCTTTCAAAGAACTGAGAAACGAGGGTTGGGGATTTAGCTCACAGTAGAGTGCTTGCCTAGCAAGTGCAAGGCCCTTGGAATTTCAACGGGATTTTCCAAACTATAGACACAAATTCCATTTTACCCTTAAAACAATAACTTAAGCCAGTATAGTCAATCACCCCGATGAAACATGCACAAGGACTCAGTGTGGGAGTTCAAGGTTACTCATCTGGAATCATGGCTTTTGTAGCTCCAATCAGAGATCTCTGGAAGGACAATGCCTGGAGAGTAGGCACTGAATACCTAACAGTTGTCCATTAGTAGATCCCAGAATGCTTCCTGGCCTTAAATGTTCATAGCAGGATGGCAATTGGGAAATGAAGAACAACAGAATTTGGTGAAGGGGCATTCACAGAGGCCGGGGCTGGGGAGAGGCTGCAATATCATGTGAGGTTCCCGGTGTCCCCAGAGTACATTTTGTAATCCCCTGGCCTGTCCCTCAGCCGGACACATGCTCTGTGCTCTTGCCAAGTTGCATAAGGAGAGATTTCAGGGCTTTGAAAATGTGCTTTTACCATGAGCACGCTGTTTACTGTGGCAAAGACATCAGGTCACTCTGTCTGGACTTAGGGCCTAAGGAAGTGCCAGTTATGTCCCCATGTTCTGTCTGTCTGTCCCTTTCTTTCCTTCCACCTTCCTTCCCTCCCTCCCTTCTTCGTTTCTTCGTTTCTTCCTTCCTTC